TGGATGTCCATGCTAGTTTTGAATTTTCTTCGTGTTCTACGCTCATTTAAATTTTTAGACAGGGTACGAAAATAAACTATATTGTACGTTACTATTTCGTTTCGTTTATTACTTCAACAGTTCGGTACAATACGAAAACAAAACGGCTGAGTTCACCTTGGCGATAGTACACTACAGTAGTTTAGTAGTTACAGACGAAACAACAAACGAAATGAATCGTGCAGAGAAAAATATATGTATGTATCATATATGTAATACTTCTATATTGGCAGTAAGCTAACTTCTCAATGTGTAAGCATCCCGAAATCAAAGCGAGACAGTCTAGTACCGTTTTTGTCAATGTTTTGTGTACTTGAGTGCCGTTTTTGTATATGTGTTGTGTACATGTTTATTTATAAACGTATGTGTTCCTTTTCTTTCGTACATGTTTATTAATATATCTGTTCTGTAGTGTTTTCGGACGGTACTAGCTCTTACTGCCAATATAGGAGTATTACATATATAGTATGTATGTACACATATGCAATAACTAAACACAAAACGAATGGCTGCAATGAATAAAAAAAATAAAAATGTTTTTTAATTGAATTGGATATGAAAATTTATAGAAAAAAATATTTTTCACGTAATTGAAACGTTTGCATACATATAAAACGTACCCTTGGTACAACTGTCACAAACGAAAAGCAAACGTTTCTCGTTGGGGAAAATGACAGTGAATCTTACAATTGGTTTCTGACTACGTAGAAAACTGTACAAAACCACAAATGATATGATGATCGATGAGCAAATGGGAATTGTTTTGTACAGTTTATTTTCGTACTCTGTTTTTAGAGTTTAATTTTACTAAAAAAGTCAAAGACAATTAACTAAAAACAACTTTAAAAAATATAGAATTATAATTGAATGAATAAAAATTAAAATGAATGTTGTACTAGCCGTGGGATTCGAACGAGTTCGCCGGGTCTGCTAGTATATTATAAGAAAAATATTTGCATTATTAAAAAAAACCCTGGAGGACAATGATTTTCCGGGGAAATTAATTGAAAAGCTCATTCGCAACTACTATGTTCGTCCGAACGAAGAAAACCAAAATGATGATTCAAATAAGAAAATTTACAAAACAGCAACTTATGTTCCAGGGTTATCAGAGAGAATAAAGTTTTCTAATCTCTATGATAAAGAGAACATCCAATTAGCGTTTATATACGACAATACTCTGAGAAGTATATCTAGCACATCCAAACTTAAGACAAGGATTTCCGCTCACAAATCGAACGTAAAATTAAGGAATACTTACTCGGACAACAAGACGGCCTTGGCAACCCACTGTAAGGACACGGGATATTACCACGATTTTGATAATGTGAGTGTCTTAGAAGACAAAAATTACCACAAACGCTTTAGAAATGCTCCACATTGTGAACACCCCTCATGATAAAAAGATGAATTTCAAAACAGACACCGAAAACTGTGCACACGTCTACCGCAACATAATACTAAAAGCGCAGTTACCCACGGACGTAAAAACGGAGAACGTGTCAGCTGACACGATCTGTCTTACCAAAGCGCCATGTAAATGAAAACTCAATACCGCAGAATTTTTCTGTAGTTGTAGCNAAAATATTTGAAATTTACTATTGAATAAGGTTTTTGTTGAAAAGTAAGTAGTTTATATTTAGCTAAAATCTATTATAGCACGAAAAATTGTAGTTGAAAGGGTAAGTTTATGAAAAGGCATTGATGAGTGGCAACAGTGTAGTAAGCCACACTGAGGGCTCCAGTAATCGACAAAATTCTGCGTATACAGACTGCGTTTAAATATACGTTCTGCGTTCTCGACTAATTTCAGCTTAAGGCACAACAAATACACGTAATGTTGGTGTCTATAATTCGCCTGTGACAACAATCACAATGCTGGATGATTTGCATACATATGTACGTCGTACTGTTTGCAGTCTAATGCATTGTTGTTTGTATGATATATTGTTTACAATTACTGTTCTTTCACTGGTTTATATTTATATGTTCATTTCGTCTCGTTGTTTGGTTTGTTAAATCTTTTGTTTTTGCACACATTAGTCTACCAGGCGCAGCCGATTATGTAAGTTGTGCTTATATAGTATGTTGATAGTCATTTATGCAATTTTCGTAATAAAGATATTTATTGCCGTCCTGATGATGACTTCAGACTGAAGTCGAAATATAGACGATTTAAAGCAACAAAAACAGATTGTTTTATTTCAACCCGGCCTTGAGCTCAAAAAAATTAATATAATTTTTATTAGTTTAAGATAAAAAAAATGATTTAAAAGGACATTTTCAACACCTATTCGTCCTTGTGCACCAACAAATTTAANTTAATATAATTTTTATTAGTTTAGGATAAAAAAAAATGATTTAAAAGGACATTTTCAACACCTATTCGTCCTTGTGCANTTTTATTAGTTTAAGATAAAAAAAATGATTTAAAAGGACATTTTCAACACCTATTCGTCCTTGTGCACCAACAAATTTAATGTTTTTCAATTCTAAAAACTGGCCATACTGTTATTCTACATCGCACTGAATTTTTTTAATTTGTCACATCCTTGAAGATTCAAAGTCTTTTAAAAAAAGAAACAGACGTCGGAGAGAAAATATAAAAACGCAGTTTTACTATATTTTACTATATATGGGTCGCGAGTTACGAATTTTTCTCTCAAAAATTGCAACATTCTTATAATACCAAAAAAAAACAAAAAAGAAGTGCAATTTCGAAAAACCGTCCAAAGTGTATNAGAAATGCAATTTCGAAAAACCGTCCAAAGTGTATTTTTGTTCTATAATTATCTACAGATTCGCACAATTGTCTTCACTTTCCAGAAAGTCAATGAAAATTCATTGACACAGTTGGCGTGGTTTGACTCACAGGCAAAACGAATCGAGATAGATATAACCAAAAGTATACATAAATGATCAGAATGAAAAAAGAGATCGATTAAGCGGTGACTGTCTGTCCATCCAACCGTCCGTCTGTCCGTCTGTGCACACGATAACTAGAATAAAAATTGAGANCAGGCAAAACGAATCGAGATAGATATAACCAAAAGTATACATAAATGATCAGAATGAAAAAAGAGATCGATTAAGCGGTGACTGTCTGTCCATCCAACCGTCCGTCTGTCCGTCTGTGCACACGATAACTAGAATAAAAATTGAGATATCTTAACGAAACTTGGTATATTTACTTCCTTTCGGCGTAGGACGGATGGTATTGAAACCACGCCTACCTCCCATATGACGGTAGTTTTCAGAAATACAAAAACTGCGACATTTTAGTAACTACTGAAGCTTATTCACTCAAAATTGATGTTTACAATCATTTTTAGGCGAATAATAAGAATATAAAAAATTTTTGGAAAATGGGCGTGTATATCTTGGGAACCGCTCCACCAATTTCTCCCAAACTTGGCACGGTTGTTAGTCTTGGTGCAACATACCAAATGGCTGAAAATTTTTAATATCGGACAATAACCACGCCCACATCCCATATAACGGTAATTTAGAGAAATACGAAATTTTCGATAAATCAGTAAATACCGAAGCTAATTTATTCTAAATTGATGTTTGCAATAATTCTTTAGCACAAAATACGTCTATAAAAAATGGAAAATGGAAATTTGGAAAATGGGCGTGGCACCGCCCACTTACGATCTCATATATCGTCGATGTTTTTGCAAAACCGCCCATCGACTAATTGCAAAACCGCCTATCTTACGGCACTCCAATTTTACAGGAGAGCGAAAAAAAAACAGTTTCTTTTTGAAGGCATTACCTTGATAGGCGGTATTTTTTCTAGCTATTATTTTAAAAACTGTTGTTTTAACAACGATTTTAGGATTTTTATGCCAAAATCTCGATGCCTGGAGTTCAGGGTTACCAAATCTCATGTTTGCCACAACGGCGATTTAGGCGGTTTTGCAACTGGACGATGTGCGGTTTTGCAGAAACATTCACGATATGTATCTCGGTAACCGTTAAAACAATATGTACAAAACTCAGTATAATTATTGTGCTTGCCACATAAAAGAAAACGCCGAAAGTTATTGAAATCGGACTAAAATTACGCCCACTTTTTATATAGCGGAAAATTTCAGAAATGCTTGAAACTTCGATATTTCGAAATTTAAGAACGCTAATTTACACAAAATTGATACTAACCACAATCCCGTGAAAATAAGTAATATTATGGAATTTTGGAAAAGGGTTGTGATACCGCCCACAAATGTTTGAAATAGGGATAAATCCACCCCTGCTTACCATGTAGCGGTAGTTTTCGGAAATGTGGAAAAAACTAGATATATTTGATATTTTCGCCGGGTATCTAATGTTCGGCTCCGCCCGANATATGGGACATTCCAGCACCGAAATGGCTTTTTTGGTTTTTGCACCTCCGACATTTTTCAAAACTTGTTATGTTATACTACCCTTTCAGAGAAGCCTGTACGATTTTTTAATGTTTTTGTCTAGCCGTCGTCGATATATTGACTTATGAAAAAAGTCCTATTTTTTTAAAACCCATAACTTTGGCAAAAATTAGCCAATTGGTATTTTTTTTTAATTGATCTCTTTAAAAATGAAGACCCCGTCACCCGTTCCGCAACTTCCAAGCCAAGTCCAATAATGGTGTAACAATGAGCTCTATCTTTTTCGAATTTTTAAATTAATAAAATTCTGACAAATTTTGTCCAATTCATCTCNAATGTTTTTGTCTAGCCGTCGTCGATATATTGACTTATGAAAAAAGTCCTATTTTTTTAAAACCCATAACTTTGCCAAAAATTAGCCAATTGGTATTTTTTTTTAATTGATCTCTTTAAAAATGAAGACCCCGTCACCCGTTCCGCAACTTCCAAGCCAAGTCCAATAATGGTGTAACAATGAGCTCTATCTTTTTCGAATTTTTAAATTAATAAAATTCTGACAAATTTTGTCCAATTCATCTCAGATAAGTCACATCAAATGCATTTCGTCGCCTGGGTAAAAGATTGTCGTATGTTAATTTCGGCAGGTTGTGGGAAATAGCGATTGAAGTTTGGAATGCAATTTCTCAAAAACGCGAAGATATATTTTCTCCAAAGTCTCTGAAAATGTTACTAGTTCATAAAATTCTTAAATTATTTAATTTTTAACGTTTATTGTTAATTAGTTTTGAGTTTATGAAGGATTTTATTTAGTAAAATTTTGTCGTAAGCGTTATTTGTCCACAATTTGGCAGCCACTTTGTATGAAATACGACAAAATGTGATCAACATTTCTACCAAATTAACGACGCTTTTTACTCAATATCTCGGAAACTAAAGGAGATATCCAAAAATGGAGAACGCCATTTTTAAGATATTGATTAGTTTGATATGACTGCATCACCAACTAAATTTTTACTAAATTATCGAAAAAGTTGTAGTCAATATCTGAAAAAACACCAATCGAAATACCTTATTTCAAAATATACAACTGCAGCTAGAACTAAAAATCGTCAAAATGGCGCTTACGACAATGTTTTACCCAGGCGACGATTTATCAAAATCATAAAAATACCACATTGTAGCGGAAGAAATTATCTACATATTTGCAGAGGTAATTACTACGCTCGACTAATCCTCATCGCGTAATCAATTGTTATCTTCTTCCCTTACGTTTGTTCAAACGCTTGGATACTCGTACATTTCGTATGAGTACGGTGACCACAAATATGTTTTGAAAATGCAGGACAATTTTTCAAAAAATTTACCTACATATTATTGCTTATACATATGTACATATATACATTCCTCGTCATTTAAATAGCGCGCCATTTTTTGCATTTCTTCCACACAAAGTATGCTTGACCATGATGCAATAAAGGTGTTGTACGTTGTGACAGCTCGAAATCGAACTACCTTAGGTCAATATTGTATTTTGTAAGTACAAGAAAAACGGAAAGAAAAAAAGCCTTTTAGTTGAAAAAGTACCAAAATGTATGCCTTCTCAACAGCGTTCCGACTATCTGAATAGGTATATATATAGCTTGGTAGTCTCATAAAGTTTTAGATAACTAAAATAATAAAATTAGGCGNTAAGTACAAGAAAAACGGAAAGAAAAAAAGCCTTTTAGTTGAAAAAGTACCAAAATGTATGCCTTCTCAACAGCGTTCCGACTATCTGAATAGGTATATATATGGCTTGGTAGTCTCATAAAGTTTTAGATAACTAAAATAATAAAATTAGGCGTGTTTTTATTCATAGGAATATGATAATATGCTTAAAATTTTTGAGCTGATGAATACCCAGCCAGAACAGTATAGTAAATAGTGTGCTTATACATATTTATGTAAATTTATGCAAATTAAAATGACATAAAAAAGAAAGCAAGTTTATAAAAACGTGGTAAAAATTAGTACAACGAAGTTCTGGGGTTCAACGATTCTTCAGAGGATGAGAGTTTAGTGAACTGGCCAGGAGTAGTAAATGTTTAAGAGAGTTTAAGTGTAGTCTTTACAATATATTTTTACACAAAATATATTCAAGAAATTTGTCAACAGATTTACTAAAAACTTCCGACTTTCTAAAAAGGCGTTTGTGATCCAAATCTTTTTAAAATATTTCAAAACTATCCACAGTTCTATGATTTGTTCTCAGAGATCGTGCCAACTGAGTATTGGGTTTTTCTTTCACGAGTAAAAGCAGCCTTTCGAGCTTGTGTTTTGTATTCACGACGTTAAAACTGCATGAAATTGATAAAAATTGTTTAAATTAGTGTCTACCCGCCAAAAAGTAAGAAAACAAATGCAAAATCATACATTTTTCACAATTTTCTAACACTTCGCTACACCATCGAAAGCAAAATTCTGTTCGACAGAAAATTCGATACTCAACGAAAATTTCGACACGGTTGCTTAGCTCATAATACGAATTTCACTTTCGATCTTCGATAACCAGCGAAGATCAGCGCATCTGAGTATAGCGGCCAAATTCTTTTCTCAAAATTTTGAATATTCTTCGTTTTTTGGCCTAGTTATATTTGCTTTGTATGGAATTTGCCACAAAATATAGGCCAAAAACGATAAATGTTCAAAATTTGGAGAAAAAAGATTTTTCAGATTTTTGAATCGTGAAAATTTTTTTTCTCGGAGAACACGAATTGATCTAGTAAATCTGAGTATGAGGCATTATTGGTATGGCCAACAGCTATCAAACCTGATATATTCGCACTAAGGTTTTTTTGTGTTCCACAGTGTTATATAAGGGATACTTTGAGGAATCATATAAACAATTATACGTTACATCCAAGTTCGAATCATACAGCAAGCTTTTTGATGTTTTATTTATTTGTTTTTGAAATTAACAATATATTTCAGAAGTTATAATTAATACGTTGTGTTCATTTTAGTAAATCCACTTTGATTTTTAATTGTACAAAATTTATTATATACATACAGTATCGGTCATATCAATAGAAACCCCATTTCAAAGTCATATTATTTCCCTCTCATGTTAATTTATTTCTAAGAATTTGCAATAAAAATAAAGTTCAATTTCTAACAAAACCCATATAAACCCAATTTTAAAACTTCGTAGAAAACTACAAAAAATACAACAAATTTTCACCCAAAATTCACACTTTTTTCTCAGAAGTGTTACAATTTTTTTGAGCACTCAGTTTTATAGCCCCTTCAATTTTAGTCTTATTATATACAAGTTTTAAGTGGCTAAAAATTACCGTTGATTTTTTGGAATCGATATAAAAACAAATCGTGTTTAATCGTCTTTCATATACCGAAAAATGCGACTATATATCGATGGCTGAGTGGAATATCGACCTATCTCGGCAGCCAGGTCGATACGCTCGATATCAGTAAACTTTTCAACGCCCCATTTCAAAATTTGGCTGGAAAACGCCCTATTTTAGAATTTGATTGAAATATGCCCTATCTCAAAACTCGGTTAAAACCACCTATCTCAGCTGGCGATCCAAAAACGCCCTATCTCAGCACATTTTCAAAGTATTTTCATTTGAGATAGGACTTTTTTGAACTGAATAATATTAATAACATACTATATACATATCCAGTTTCAACATAAAAAAAATTATGTACACATCATTCATTGTCTATAAATATCTAAGTCAATATATGTGATATATATGTATGTACATACATCTACATATCGTCGTTTAAAGTACAAAACCGTGTATCAATAAAATGCAAAACCGCGTATCAAGATAATGAAAACCCACGTATGCGAGGTTGCCAATTTTTAGCAGCAAATGTCAGTTACGCGGTTTTGTACTTTAAACGACGGTGTGTATATTAACAGGAGGGCAGCAATCTAATACACGGGTGAAGCAGGAACGCAGCACAGCAGAAGCATACAAACAATTTGCAAATAAATGGCTTTTTAGGTTTTTAACAAACAAAAACCTGGTTTCAACTTACTTCAACCTGTCTAAAGCACAACGCACACACTAATGCAAAGGCGCAACAGGGACGCAACACTACAAAACACGGGCGGAGCAATACACAGGCGGAGCAGGAACGCAGCACAGCAGAAGCGTCCACAAAATCTGCGAATAAATGGTTCATTAGGTTTTGAAATAACAAAGAGCTGGTTCCAACTTACTTAAAAATATCTGCAGGATGATGCACACAATCAAATTCGGCCGCAGCTGCAGTTCACCAGAGAATGCTGCAAATGGAATGGTTCATCAATGAAGTCAAAATAATAGGTTTGGTCCACAAGATACTTGTAGAAAAACTCAAGCAAAGTTCAAACTATCAGCGTATATCAAATCAACTTTAAAACTTACTTGCGGAACGCGTATATGTAACTCGAATTGACATACGTGTATTAGCTCTTAATTACAATACCAGGTCGGCCAGGAAAACACTAAGGAAATGACCTAATAAATGCAAAATTATAATTTTTTTGTAAAATAATTCGGTTTTAGTACAATACTTACCAAATTTCACGCAATTAGAAAACAAATGTCAGCGAATAAGAACAAAACGAACAACGAAAATTGAATCAATGTAGCTTGTTTAGAATTTTTTTCTAATATTTTGGGAAATGTTCAGTGAAATTAGCAAAGAAACAACACAGTTTCTCCTAAGGTAGTTCAAGATGGCGGATTAGAGCGAGAAGTTGCCAACGTATAACACCTTTTGAATAAGAAGCAATAACGATAAGTCAATAATATGGCTGTAAGAAGTTAAAACAGCAATTCTAAAATTAAACCCAAAAAAACCTGAATATGATCCCCTAACTTAACAATAATAATTATGTTCAGACCCGGAAAAAACGCAGAAGAAGTTGAATCATAGAGACCATTTAGTTTACTACCCATTGTTTCGCAAGATCATGGAAGTGATTTTCCTTAAAAGACTACGTTCAATTATAGAAGAGTAAGAAGTCATATCCAATAACCCATTTGGCTGCAAAAAAGGTCACAGTACAATTTAACACGTGAACGTGCCCACCCGTAGACGGAGCCGCAGCAAANAAAGTTGAATCATAGAGACCATTTAGTTTACTACCCATTGCTCGCAAGATCATGGAAGTGATTTTCCTTAAAAGGCTACGTTCAATTATAGAAGAGTAAGAAGTCATATCCAATAACCCATTTGGCTGCAAAAAAGGTCACAGTACAATTTAACACGTGAACGTGCCCACCCGTAGACGGAGCCGCAGCAAACTCTAAATGTTTCAGTCAATGTTTGCAAATGCCCTATATTATTAACGAATTACAAAATTCCTCGCGATATCAAAGTCCCAACTATTGCAGATGAAATCAAGACATGTTGTATCATACAACCATTGACTGGAAACTGACCCAAAACCAAATTTTTTCATGTGATTGAAGAGGAAGTCACCAAATCATCTATTACAGGAAAATAATAGTTGTATCACTGGTTGCACTCCATACATACTTTTAAAGTTGTATCTTACCCAATCGATTCCATGAAGCGCCCGCCTTGGCAGCCGAATCTTGCTCAGAGTTGCGGCTATAAATTTTAAATGTGTGACGCGCGTTACTCTGGCTCAATTGGATATTGCAGTTTATTAAACTTTTACTTATCCAGACTAGACCTCGTCGGTGCCAATATATATCAGGCATATAGAGATCCCCATATGACACCAACGCCCTCTTGGCATGTCCACTCAACCGAACTCAACCAACACCCCTTTCCCTACGGTATGACCCGACCTGATTCTAGGCAGGGTTAAGTAGCCGCTAGCACAACGGCTGTGTTTCAAAATACCTGTAAGTAAAGACTTCCGTTTCGCCGGGTTTTCANTACGGTATGACCCGACCTGATTCTAGGCAGGGTTAAGTAGCCGCTAGAACAACGGCTGTGTGTTTCAAAATACCTGTAAGTAAAGACTTCCGTTTCGCCGGGTTTTCAATGGAACATCAATTTGGAAATCATTTTGAAATGGTTGCATATAGTCCAAGTTTTTGGTGCTAAAGATTGTTGACACCTCAGTTGATATGGGATTGGAGTTAGTGGATGTGAATAGAGCTAATTGCATTCGTGGCTTCTCACTAAGGAACGATGTAAAGCACGGCTGACCGGAGCATTGTAGAGTAGTGAACAACTGCGCCATGACCCACATTGAATGGGCTATGTAAGCCATAAATGCTACGCCCAAAATTGTTGTGATCGATGGAAAGAACATTCTTAGCGTTGATATTGTATCAATTTAAATTATATTTATGGAAAATATCCAGAAAATTTATGGGTTGGTGCAAACAACTTCCCTTGTTTTCACTTATTTTACACTTTGACAAATAGAGGTGTCAAACTATCGATGGTACTATCGATAGTATCGATAGTTTTATTTTTTGCCCCTATCGGTGAGTAGTGATAGTTTTTCTCAAAAAAGGTTAAACTATCGATAGTACTAGTTGACTATGGATAGTTTAAAACCTCTAGCACAGCCGATTTTATTTATAATGCCTCCATGTAGCTGCGCGTCAGTTTTTTAAGTTTGTAAATTTTTTATTATAAGTGATACTTTCATTGTGATTCCTCCTTTAATGGCCGTTTTCTCAAGCAACCTTAAATTGAAAAGCTGCCTTTATATTTAAACGTTGCTTCAAACCAGAGATCAGTTGCGGTGTATCGCATTTTCGAATACACCGCAACGACATTTATTTACTGTACCACTCAAACTCAATAATACTTAGTAACGAAATCTACCGCCACCGCAAGCTCAAATGATGTCGTGTTTGAGTGTTTTGAGCTCGATCAAAGCGTCGTTACTGCATAGTGTGGCACCGAATTTTCATATCGCCTTCGGTTATGCGGTGGTATGAGCGGTCGTTTAAACAACGTAAACATCGCATTACTTGCGGATATGCTTCTTTGAATGCGGTGCACCGCATTATACGAGTCTAAGTGAAATAAAAATGAATTGAATTAAAAGAAAATACATATTACACATTCTGTGTATTTAAATTTGACTAAATGTTCATATTTATTAATTTTTTTGTAACATGCATACATACAAACTCTGTAAGCAACTGTAGCGATAAAATGCGCTGCACAGATACCTACATATGCTCGTATAAAAGTGTGTTTGCATTGTTCAACTTTGCGTTCAACATTTGCGTTCAACTCAGCGCAGGGTTGCACGAAAAAAAAGTTGAATGGCTAAAAATATCAAAATATAAAAAAATATCAAAATATTCGCCATAAAAAGGTGTTTGCATTGTTCAACTTTGCATTCAACTTTTGGTTGAATGGCCTTTCAACGAATCGCTTTCAACAAAGTTGGTCGCCAGCCAACATTTAGCCATTCAACTTTTTTTTCGCGCAACCCTGCGTTGAGTTGAACGCAATTGTTGAACGCAAAGTTGAATAATGCAAACACTGTTTAATGCGGTGTACCGCATTCAGCCAAGCATATCCGGAAATAATGCGATGTTTGCGATGTTTAAACGACCGCGCATACCACCGCATAGCCGAAGTCGACATGAAAATGCGGTGCCATACTATCCAGTAACGACTTGTATGACAGTCACCGCAAACACGAACGCGACAAAAAATGCGATGCACGCAAATATCGCATTGCTTGCGGTATGGCGAATATTCCTTTCACCGCATTGTTTGCGAGTATACTTGAAGTCTCGAAAAAGGCACCGCATGCTAATCACTGCTTCAAACCATAAAGGCTATGCCTGAAGTAACGCATTTCTATTATCGGTGTTTGACGTTTGTATGTTTCTTGGCTGTAAACAAATCAAAAAATTATATTACGAAATTTAAACAAAATATATCATATTTGAAAATTTATAATAAGCAATAATTAAACAAAGCAACAGTGATTTTGTTGACGGCAAATGATAAAGCTGTTTTTGATAGTCTTTTTTATGCTATGAGTCGTAAGCGTAAAGTTTCCATCAGCTCCAGATTTTGAGAAAAACAAGGTCAAAAGTGTCAAAAAATCGCGTTTTTTTGCAATATTTTAGAAGGTCTAGCACAAAAAACAAAAGGTGATAGAACCTTTAACTGGGGCTTAAATTAAAACTATAAGTCTCGGCTACTATCCCTGCACCTTGAACTGATGGTCACTAAAAGTTATTTATTGAACAATATAAAAATACTGGAATAAACACTGTGCTATTGAAAAAAATAAATAAGTTTTACCAAAATCAGTTTTTGCTGTTAAATAAATAACTATAAGTGACCTTATACGGCATTTCCACGCTTCGTAATTCGCTCTCCCATTCGACATTCGCCTTGCAAATTACCTTCCGAATTACGTAATTCGCCATACAAAATTTTGAGAGCGAATTAACTCATTTGAAGGTAATTCAGATCGAATTACCATGCGAATGACGAAGGAATCGGTGCCTTTACTAATATTTATCGGAAATATATCGAAGTTTTCACCCGCCTGCTCCCATATGCTAGCACTTTTTCTAGTTGTAGAATAATATTAATAAAATATTCTCTATATAAATTAAAATTGTTGATGATAACTTAAATTTTAGCTCCATCTTCGATATTTGCAGTACACGAAAATTAAAATAAATAGCGAAGAACAAGAACAAGAACTAGAGCTGCCAAACGAATTACTAAGGGTATTCATCAAACCTTATAAATGCATTGTAAACCGTATAAACTTATAATTGTGTAAACCTTATAAATGAACTATCAAAATTTGTATGGAAACTCGTTTACACATTTCTGATAAATTTATCCAGCGATTTCACTGAATAAACTTAATAAACTGAAGCCAATGCAACTCTGTCGCAACTTTCGCTATGTTTTCTTCGACAATAATCGGGATCCGCATACAAATTTTGCACGCAAATTCAACAACAACGATATGATCCTGATAGAGATCTGGTTCAACTATTATCCCGTCTGTTTGTTTTGTTTCACTGATAATTTGGCCGCAAAGTTTTGGTAGCCGTGACAAATGAATTCATACACAAACAGACATTCTGCCATTGTTTCTTCTAACTTGGTTCAAATTAATCGCCTTTATTTTATATGTATATTTATTTAAATAGATATTATCTCGTAAATATAATTGTTTCCAATTTAGTGAGGTAGTTTCTATAATTTCTTTATACCCGTGCTAGTAGTATAAAGTTAGTGATACTGAGCTCTATAACCAAAGAAAACACAACTATTGTCGCAATTGTAAACGAAAAGAGAGCGTGGGTCGTTCATGTAACAGAGTGCGTAAACTTATAAGATTATCTGCTTGATAAAGTTATCGGTTTAGATGAATACCACTACTAATTTGTGACTTGGAAACAGGGTAATTCACGAATTACTTAGCGAATGACTTAGAGAGCGAATTACGAATTGTGGAAACATCGTATAAGGGTTAAGGTTCAGGGACGGTTTTTTAAGCGATTGTAGTCGAAAGTTCAAACCTTACAGCCCTATTCGCGTGCAATGACAAAACTCGCTGCTATAACTATTGTCATGTTTATAATCAATTGTCACGTTTAGGTATGCAGGGGGCAATTTGAAAGCTCCAACGGTGACAATTGCTATTATTTTTGTGATGAGCTATTGAGTACGTGACAACGCTAAAACATATGTTAATATTTTCAATTTAATTAATTTTGCAGAAAAAAGTTGCAAAATGTTACTAAATGAAAACTGTGAAACCATTTTATTTGCTTCAACAGGTCTGTTAAAAAGTTATTATTTGCGTATGCATATCATAATAGTATCCATTGCAGAATATTATTCATGGAGGAAATCAGTATTATGTACGCGGCTATTATTGTGGAGCAAGAAGATATTATACAAAGAAGACTTCTGAGGGAACTCCTAGACAACAGTTTTTTTTTATAGTTTTTACACGTTTATAGTTCGGGGTGGTATTCACAAAATTGTACCTGCTCTTGTGTGGTGCAGTCATATTTTTACGCCTGGTACTTTACGAATTCATAATAAAATGTAATAAATTTTCCTATTATAAAATTACTCACTTTTTTCGGCGTTTCGTAATCTATTGCTGCGGTGTATTTTATTTAAAAGAAATTCCGTCTGTTGCAGTGTGGGTCAAAAAGAACAATTAAAAAGTAAACAAAGAACAGCTGTTTCTCCAAGAATGATAGAATACAAGATTGCGCCAATCGAGCTGAGAGCAACTGGCCGTGACGTCAATAAATACCAGAATGAGAGAGCAAGACGAACTCGACAAGAAAAAGAGGAAGCATCGAACAAAAGGCAATATTGCCAAGTTTTGAATTTGAAAAAGCACCAAATTTTTATTGGTGTCGTTTATAGACTTTATATGCATACATAACTTTATTGTAAGGATGCCAATTCAAATTAATAACAAGTAAGAGCAGCGCTGTCTTCGGCTATGCCGAAGGCTTCANCGTTTATAGACTTTATATGCATACATAACTTTATTGTAAGGATGCCAATTCAAATTAATAACAAGTAAGAGCAGCGCTGTCTTCGGCTATGCCGAAGGCTTCATACCTTTCATGAACATCTGCAAATATTACTTTGACAGATTACTGCTTTTGAATACATCTACATACATCGATAGAGGAGTTACATACTTATATAAAAAATCGCATCTAAACAATCAGAGGTATGGAAGATATACTTTATATGACACCAATCTAAGTGATTTTCACCGCTATGTGATCGGTATGTAAACCGGTAACACAATTTATTGGGTTTAGTTTCGTACATAAAGGAGATATATTGCAAAAACTGGTATCTTAACAATCAGTGCTTTAGGAGATAAAGCTTATACAGCATAGATTTTGCCGTTTTTCTCAGTAGACTTTGTACTATTATTTATAAAATATCTTACGAAACTTATCGGTTTTAGCTGCTCAAATAAAGGAGTTTTACAGTAAAATCCCATATCTGAACAATCAGATGTATGGAAGATATATGTTGTAGTCATCCGATCCTTGTTATTTTCACTGTAAGTATTCTGTTAATAATGAGTGAAAATGGTGCGAAATTTCATGTTCCTAGCTGCATAAATGGAGGAGTTATGATAAAAGACCTCATATCTGAACAATCAGTTGTATGGGGGCTGCAGGTTATAGTGACCCGATCTTTGTTATTTTCGCTGCAAGTCTTCTGTTGATAATGAGTGAAAACAGCGCGAAATTTCATGGTCCTAGCTACATAAATGGATGAATTATAACGAAAAATCTCATATCTGAACAATCAGTTGTATGGGAGCTATAGGTTATAGTTACCCGATCTTTTTAATTTTCACTGCAAGTTTTCTGTTGATAATTATTGAAAACAGTGCGGAATTTCATGATCCTAGCTATAAAAATGCAGGAGT